GAACCACAGGACTGGGAAGCTGGTGGCCCAGGGGAGACCATGCTGCTGGAGGCTTCAGCCAGCACAGGCTGCCCTAGAGGGGAAAAGCCCCAGGTTTAGCTGCTCCCGGCATCTGGCCTGCTCTGGCATTAGTGGTCAGCTCTTCGGTTAGTCCTCTTGCTTCTGCACAGCCTTTGAGGTGTCCCCTGTCTTTGCTGGGGTGGGAGATGAGTTTCTCCCGGGTTCTGCTTCCCTCTGGTGGATAAGCACTCCTGCTGCTGCCGAGAGCCAGGCTAAGGCAGCAAGCACCAGGGTGTTGCTGCTGGTGGCAAGCAGAAGCTGGAACCAGCTAGCCACAGAAAAGTTTCACCACTGCCAGTAATTCCTTACTATTAAGTGAGCAATGGGAAGGAGTGCTGGGAGAGGAGGGCCAAAACTACACTGCTGCCATTGCTAGCTCGTCCTACAGCCCATGGCTTTGACTTGTACAAATGAGCACTTGGGGTGTTAGCAGACACCTTTTATTAATGTTTTTTCCTCCATACTGGTTCATATTTACTCTTACCCTCCTTCCATCAGTGCTGGTTCTGAGAGTTCATCCCTTTAAAGCCTCTCTGTTCTACCAGGAACGATCATGCTCAACACACAGCAAAAGGAGGGCAGTGGGGCTGCTGTCCAGGCACAGGAGGCTGGAGCCAGAACGGGGAACAACAAAGTCAGGGCTGGCAGAAAACAGGCGTTACTCTTACCCTCCTTCCATCAGTGCTGGTTCTGAGAGTTCATCCCTTTAAAGCCAGGAACGTTCTACCAGGAACGATCATGCTCAACACACAGCAAAAGGAGGGCAGTGGGGCTGCTGTCCAGGCACAGGAGGCTGGAGCCAGAACGGGTAACAACAACAGTCAGGGCTGGAAGAAAACAGGCGTTCTGTGCGTTTTCTCAACCCCGAGCTGCAGCCGCAGGGCTGTGCAGATCCAAGAGGCCATGAGGCAGGCAGGGGAGATGGCCAGGCACTCAGTGCCACCTTCTGGGTTTTGGCTGCAGGGTGCTGACAGCCAGTGGGCAACACCAAGCCAGGGCTCCCACACAGGTTTGAGACAGATTCAGGGCTCTCCCTCACTCAGCCCAGGCCTCCCTGGTCCAGCTCAGAAACAAAAGGACACTTCTTCAAGCGATAACGAGTGGTTTATTTTTTTTCAGAGGGACGCAGGGAGAAGAGCAGAGGGCTCCCTCCCGTCTCGCTCCCGCAGCAGGCATTACCCACACACACACATGCAGCCAGGGATGGGCAAAGACCCTGGGCTCGGGCACCAGCCAGCGGTGCCTGGAAGAGACACACTTGGAAGCCACAAAAAAATAACAGGGCAGGACCTCACTGTGGTAGCAGCAAAGATAAAAACCATAGGGAGGGAGTCCTAGGGCACAGTGCTAAGGTAAGCAAGGGATGCCCCAGAAGGGGAGCACGGCCTCTCCCCAGGGGTGGGCACCTGGGCTCCCATTCCCACCAGGGACCTAGAGGAGAAGACAGCCTGGGCCAGACCCCAGCCTCCTCTCTCAGCACACTGACAGACACAAGCAGAGACAGAAGAATATGTAGGGCTGCAAAACTTCATGCGTACCCTACCCCGGCACAGCCCTTGCCAGCAAACCTCCCCCAGCAGGCAGAGCTGCCAGTGCCACCTGGGGTCACAAGTGCCAGGGAGCATGGCTCCGTGCCCAGCTCCCTGCGGGACGCACAGCCTGCCTAGCCCACCAGCTTGTTCCATGGGATGGTGCTGAAGAAGGAGTGGGACTTCAGCTTCGCCATGCCACCTCCGCCAGAGCCCAAACGCCGCTTCGGGTTGTACTGTAGGAGCTGCAGAGAAAGGGGATGGGACAGCAGGACGGGGAGATGGGGACACTGGAAAAGCTACCCATCTGGAGTAGGATGGACCCTCTAGCCCCATCCTCCCTCCCAGCCACCCAAGCCCCTCACCTCAGTGAGCAGCGACTTAGCAGCCAGGCTGAGCCCCTCCGGCAGATGCAACTGGGTGTGAGGTTGAATACCTGAAGGGTGGTTTTGAGACAGTGGCTGCAGGGGGGCAGAGGGCGATGGTGAGCTGAGGCACTGAGGAAGGTAGGAGCACCCTGCTGAGCCTCCATCGCCACACAACGCCAGCTCTACACAGCAGGGTTTAAAACACGGGGGCCTGAACACCCGGAGAGCATGCACAGGTACTGGCAATCACACACCTGAAGTAACCCAGCATGGTGCTGACGTGCCAGCAGGGCAAGGCACCCCCCCAGCCCTGCATGGCAGAGAGCTCTTGTGCATCGGTGTCACCTCCTCCTCCCCCCCTCCTTGCACAGCTCCTGTGCCTCTTACCACTCCTGTCAGCAACTCGTACAAGAGAGATCCAAAGCTCCAGCAGTCAGCTGCTTCGGTGGGCTCCATGATCCCCCCCACTTCTGCAGAGAAAGCCAGAGAGCAGTTAGAGCTGGAGACAGGGAATGCCAGTAGCTGTGCCATGCCAGGCACATTTCGCTGCCTGCAGAAGACCCCTCTCCCCCAGTTGGCAGCCCTGGGCCAAGGGCAAAAGGCAGGGGACGTGTCCCTTACCTGGGGCACTGTACAGCTCTTCCTGTGCCTGGCTGCAGCACTGGGGCTCCACCTCTGTCCACTGGCCAAAGAAGGTGAGACAGACATGACCTGCAGAGCAGCACCAGAGCCAAAAGCAGGGAGGTTAGGGCAAAGCCAAGGACTTTGGTCAGAGCACAAACCAAGCCACATCCCCTCCCTGCCGTGCCCTGAATGCAGGGGCACCATGCATCTCCTGGCACTGCGCATCCCCGGCCTCCCAGTGCTTGCCCCAGATGCCCAGCAGGCCCATGCAGCTGGTGCGACTGGTTAGGTGGGCTCTAAGCTCACAGACCTCAGGAGAGGCTGTAGTGAGGAAAGCAGCAGTGCCGAAGGGAGGTAGGTTAGCTTTCCCCTTGCAAAGCTCTCTGCATTTTTCTTTTCCTAAGCAATGTGTAGCTCTGCAGTTTGCCCCAGCTGTTGCCAGACGAGCAGAGGAATGTATGCTCAGCTTGCACCAACAGCAGTACCTATGGCTTGAAGGGACAGGCAGGCTCCAGTGGGCAGTAATTACAAGCAGGGGAAAGCTGCAATCCCACTAACCTCAGGCACAGTTCAGCTGGTCTCAGCTTCCCGGTGCTGAGATTTCCCAGGCAGCCAGCCCCCACATGGGAGCAGGGGCAATGCATTCCTGTGGCTGCGGCCCCTGACTCTCCCATTGCCGAGCCATCTCTTGCAATAACCTCTTGGAAATCCCAACTGAGACTGCACTTCCAGGTTCACAAACTTCCAAACCTCCCCAGACTCCCACCCTCCCCCAAAGCAAACTCAAGAAAATCAAGGGTCCCTGGAAACGGGGCAAATTGCAGTCTCTCAGCTGAGAGGCCAACCTCCTCCTCCTCAGGGCAGCAGCTTGGGGCACTACCTACCGGCTGCATCAAGCAGCAGGTTCCTGGGGTTGAGGTCCCGGCACAATACACCCTGTTGGTGAAGTCCCTCCAATGCCAGCAGGATTTCTGCTGCCCACAGCTGCACCTGCTCCTCCTTCACAGCCCACGCTCTCCGGCCATGCCCACGGGAAGCCAGAGACTGGCACTGTCCTGAGAGCGTTTGCTCTCTGAGCCTGCCACAGGTCAGGCTTGCTCCCCACGAGGGCTCCCGTGCCACTGGGTCAGGCCCACTGGGCTTGCCAGAGCTAGACAGGGCAACTCCTGCACG